TTTTGGAAGCGCTCAAGCAAGCACCAATTAGAGACTACAAAGGCTAAAGTGTGTCCGTGATAATGGTCTGGTATTCACAGAATATAATCAGCAAGCCAAGAGAGTGTCCATAACAACTGTCTCAGTAACAGTTTAGTGGGACTGGAAGTCTGAAAAGTCTAATGAAGTTCATTCTAAGGCTGGTCTCTAATTGGTTGGGTTTTGTGTGTGTGTGTGTGTGTGTGTACGTGGAGGCCCGGAGTCTGCAATGGCTCTGTGGACCGGTCAAGCCTTTTTGCCTTCCTTCTCAGTTGTTTGTTGAGCTTTCCTGCCTTTGTTTGGGTTGTAGATTTCCTGTGTAAGCACAGAAAAATTAAAAAATAACAGCCCAGCATCCAAGCTAAAAGCTGGCACGTGTTGTGCTAAAGGTATTTCCATTAAAACGGGTGTGTGTGGTGATTTGTGTTCCCTGGGACGGGCGCAGCTTTTATCGCATCGGTTTCTGCGTTCACATTTAAGGCGAAGCTGCAGGTTGCATAAAACAAATAAACTCAGCACAATTAGTGAACACAAGCGTGTCGGCTTCTTATTCCCTCGGCCTCACTCGGCCTAAGGGAACATTCAGTCACGCGGAAAAAGGAAAGCAAATGAAAGTCAAACAAACCACTCGGTCTGGATGCACTGAAGACAGGGGCAGTGTGTCGCATCACGTTGCAGGTAGAAGCTCATTTTGTGCTTTTGTCTGTTTGATAAAGTTAATCATTTTTCACCCATGGATGGATGGATGGATAGATAAACGGTGGACAAGCATTATTCCTATGGCTTATCAGCCATTTAGAATATTCTGAATCTTTCTCTTCTTTTCTTTTTTCATATTTCTATATTTCTTCCTTGATGTGACCAAAAATGTACAGCATGAAGTCTATTGGACACATTGACACGGTGGAATTAAAAACCTTTACGAATGGCTTTTTAAGATTTTCACTTAATTATTTGTAAGTAAAACAATTGACTTTGACTTTACTTTTCAAATTATTTAGCCATTTGTATCAATTCAGTTAAAATGACACCTATTGAAAATCATCGAGTCATTTTTACAGTCATTGTGCGGTGTTATGTTATTTTATGTTATGTTATGCTATGTTATGTTATGTTATGCTATGTTATGTTATGTTTTGTTATGTTATGTGAACAGTATAATAAAAAAAACAGTTGTAGCTTGTGAGATCCTCTGGTAAAGAAAATCATTGCTGCTATTTCTAGCAGAAACAATAACTGCAGTGCAGAAATGTCTGCTGGGCGACTGGGTCCCAAAAGCAAATTGGCAAGATTAAATTTGATATACTGGAATCAAAACCAGGTTCTGCGTTATTAGGAGCGCTGGAGAAAAGTCCTGCTGGTGCTGCAGCCGGAAAGCATGCGCAGCATCTTTACGTGTGAGCATTTCCATTGTTTTCTTCTTCATCTTTTACACTGCCATAAATATCTCACTACATAAGATGCTGAAATGAGATTAAGACGATTGCACAAGTAAATATATTTGCTTAGGTTCAGCAATTCTGACTCAAGTCTGACTCAAACTCAACAAATGAGTTGACCAAAACCATTAAGATTCCTTGGGGTTTTTTTCCCGTAACTGATTTTCAGTGAATATCCTAAAGAGAAAGTGAAAAATATAGAAAAGAGGTTCAAGTTTCTCTAAAATACTAATTCATTTTTTGGTTTCATCTGCTTTGTTAATTTGCTGAGGTCAGGCACTTTACATCATGTAAAGTCAAAAAACTGAACTGGTGTCTGAGGGCGGTACGGTGGATAATTAGTAAACTGGCACGCCATGGAGGAATTTAAAAGCTCCATTTGGTGAATCCAATAGCCACTAGTAGTAAAAACTGCAAGTTATTACACAACTTGCAGTTTTTTTGTTTTGTTTGTTTTTTTTGGGGGGAGGGGGGTTTCTGCTGCAAGGCAGAACTTCAACTTTTATGTTTTTGGTCGTTTATTCAATGTTGCATGACTGTGTTTTTGTGTTTAATGATGTAAAGCACTTTGAAATGCTGCTGAAATGTGCTATACAAATAAAATTTGATTTGAACATTTCTAGCCGTATTAGCAGTAAATATTGCATTTTCTGCTTTAATTTTGATCAGAATTGTCACTGATACCCTACAGCCATCAGCTGTACCATACATACGTACAATCAGAAGAGAAAATTAATATTAAACAGCCATGTAGAAATGATTTGAAATTCACTTTTTCCACAATTTTTTCCGATGCGTTGTTAAAAGCTTATTTCTAAACACTGGCTGTCATTGAAACGCCGCTAATCTATTAGCACTTAGCTTTCTCAGAACATGTCTCATGGTCCCAAACAAGACGCAACAATCAAATGCCAGAACATGCGGTGGATGAAAAACACTGTGATGACGGCTGCAGTCACACGCAACATTGCATTTCTTCACCTGATAAACTTTATGCTCACAAATAACCCTGTGCAGTTTCCTTGGTGGCTTGACTGTTGACTTCCCTGCAGGAGGTTTCTGTCATTGCTGGGGCTTGAAATGTCCCGCGTCCTCTTCCCTCAGCGCTGGGTTGTTCCTTCGCTTCAATCCAAAGTTCCATTATTTTACAATCATAGGGCAAAAAAAATAAAAAATAATAATATTACCAATGAAAAGACCAATTTTATTGGTGGGCGAAGAGAAATATGTTTTCTTCATCCATTTGCTTCCAATGAGCTCACACATATTTCAAACTTTGATGATCTTTGAAGCAGATGTTCTGTCTCTGTCCTTTTTCTGTTGCCAGTAAGTGTTCAGACATGTCTTATTAAAAAAGCATTTCAACTTATGTCCACTGTCATGGAGAGAGAGCAACGTCAACATGGTACCGGCTCAAGATGCTCGCTATCATTCATAGCCATCTAATGACTCAGAGTGATCCTTTTTTTTCTGAAAAATAACATTTTCAAGATTTTCAGTTTTCCAGCTCTTAAGTATCCACCCTCCTAAATGTCTTTAAATATGCAACCCTGAAAAAAAAAAAAAAATAGACTGAATATACTTACAAACTGAATCAATGCTAATGAGTGGTCTCATCCATCTGGTTCATATAAGCTGTGTCACAAAACTCGCTTTGCTTGCTTAAAGTCAAAACTGTTTGGAGAATGACTGACCCCTTCTAACTTACAGAACCTGTTCTTGCTTAGGACACGTTCACACACACACACACACACACACACACAAACACAGGCATACACGCACAAATCGACGCAATGGTGATTGGGTTGTAACCTGGGTCAGCCAAAGACATAACACTATAAAGGTCAAAGTGCGTGGATTTATTCAGATACATTTAGGTCAATTTTACGTTTTGAGCCATCTCAAGTGTCACAAGAGGGCCCGGATTTCACAAGCAATTTAAGATCCTAATTTCAAAAACGGACGAGCGATCCAGATTTGGCTCAATTGTTTGTGGGCTTGCTGTCACTCCTAATGTTACGGAGATCCTTTATCTGGGTCGCAGATGGCTGGCTCTCTCTGTTATGGTTTACTAGCGGAAAAACATGTCTTTGTTGGCAAAGGATGTCGGCACATGAATGTTCAGAACACAGAAAGCTACTCTTTTTTTTTTTTTTTTTCTTTTTACACGAGCCTCAGTAGCTTAAGTCTCTGTGTGTATTGTGGTCATGCATTATTGATTAATGGGTGGCTGTTGTTCTTTTCAAATCTTTGATCGTCCCCTTGCATTTTGTGTAACTCAATGGACATGTAGCTTCTTTTCACTTCAATACATATAGACTTACCATTCATTCTACGCATCGAAAAGGAGTTGTGTTACATGGGAGAACACAGAAAATGTTGAAATGGTGTCAAAGCAACCACACAGAATATTTTAAAAGATCACATTTCTACATTTTGCTAAAGATGTGCATTAAGTTAAAAAAACGGCTTGCAAAATAAATCCATACTGTTTGAATCTTTCAAAGTGGTTGGGAAGTGGACGTTAAACATTTTTTTTTTTTTAACATTGTCAACATTGTTTATTATTAAGAATGTGAACCAGTAAGAGGCTGCACAAGAATTAATGGTGGGGTGGAGATTATCCATCCATCTGGATGAGAGTCTTAAACATACAGACAGGGCAACAAAAACAATGGTGTATGGTTTCGATCTAATCAGACTAAGCTTAATCTTTTCTGCAAAGAACAACTGGGGGAAAATGTGCCATATGTTAGAATGTCCTAGTCAAAGTCCAAACCTACATTCACTTAAGAATGCCTAGGAAAACTTACTAACGTGTATCTCTTCAAGCCATCTCAGTGAGCTTAAGCTGCTTTGCAAAGACATGGCATGCAAGGGTGCTGGAGAAATACCACCAAATGACTAACTGTAAAATTATAAGGTTGATTTACAAATGATTAACTCACAAGCTACACTCTTCAGGGCGACATTTCTCTTCTTATTATTTTTTCTTTTCTTTTTCACATTTGAAGTTTGTGATTGTAATTCGAGATGCACCGATCCGATATTAACATCTGTATCGGTCCTGATACTGAAACAAATTCAATGGCAGGTCTTTCAAGTCCAATTCTATACTTTGCTCTGTGATCAATATAATGCTTTATTAGTTATTTTACATTATATTTAGAATTCATAATAGCACTTCCTGAACAGTTTGAAAGATGGTTTGTTGAAGTTTATCTTTTACATGTTGGGTAGTCAACCTATTGTTTTTTGTTTGTTTTTTGTTTTTATCAGTTTCAGTGTTTTCACTGTTTATTCTACATAGGCTGTTAGAATCTTAATTGCCTGAACAAATTAAATCAGTATCATAACATAAGTGATGGACAGACACCCTGTATGATGCAGAACCAGCAATAGTGACTAAGAAGTTTTTAGAGTCTTACAAAAACCCCCTCCCCTGCCCCCCCGCACAACCCCCCTTTGCAGCAGCAGCAGCATCAAGAGTTAAAACTCTCGGGAGTGTTTGTCCACTGTGCTGCTGAGACTGGTCCGTCTCTCCATGAGCGGTGGGGGCTTCTAGTTTAAGCCAATAGGCAGGGAGGAACACTAATGTCATTCCACTGTGACAGTGGAGGAGCGGCGCAGATTTCACCGTGCCGCGCTGAAGCGACTGCGATGCGGTGACGGCACGTAAAGTCACATCGCCCCTTTCCAGATCAGCCAGTTCCTGGGTTTTCAGCGTATCGCTTTGCACAAGCTCTTTGTTCGATCCCAGCGGAGCTGTGGTTGCCTTTTTTTTGCCCCCCCTCCTCTTAAATTTTCTTCCTGGACTTTGCATCTAACCCAGATGACACCCTCTGCAATCTTCTTCCGCTTCACCAGGAGTATTGGCTCTGGATACGCGGTTTGCTGCGACTGAACTCTTTTCTTGGTGAGTGGACCAGTTTGATCAACTCTCTGCTGTCTGCGTAAATAAACGGTCATATTTAAATGGCAAACAGATGAAAAGCGTTTAGTTCTCTTTATTGACATGGTAAAATAAACATTTTGCATATCATAACACTTTATGCGTACCATACTTTTTTTTTTTTTGCATAAGCTCAAAAACGCTGCTTACTGGTTTCTCAGTCCCTCGCCGTGCGCTTTTACGCAGCACGTTTCCAGAGAGACACGTATCATTTTTCCGTGCGCGTGCCGTGAGAGTAACTTCATACCCTGACAGTAGGGAGGATGGGGGGTGGGGGGGGGGGGCCCTCAACTCTGAGCCGTCGGGCAAGCGGGAGTGTGGACACTGCCCCCTCTCCAGATGCATGCATTCAGCTGTCGCCTGTCACTTCGGTGACAACTGGTCTGCGCTCCTTGACCGCTGCCCGTCCGCCACGGGTCCATAGCTGTCAGGAGAGCTGTTGAGTGGGAAGAAATGTGGTCCCACAACACCACCACGGCTACATGTAGTACAGTATGAGAAGTTTCTTTTACGTTCTACGAACTCTAACCATGATAGATAGGGTGAGAATGACATGGGAAGTGGAGGGGGGAATGTCAAACGAGACATTTTACACAAGACCTGCAATCTAAAACGCTGGCTTTTTTTTATTTTATTATTTTTTTTATTTTAGTGCTTTATGATCTCTGAAATAACATCTCATAGGCAAACACATCACTCTTTTCTACACTTTTAATATTTGTTTTCATATCCTCCGCGCTGTTCCTGAAACTGGGTCAACACTAATGCAGAAACGCATACACACAGATTTGGTTTCTTGAAACAAAAAGAAAACCGAAACCAGCTGCTTCAGCGGATTTATGACTCCTTATAGACCCCTCTATGAACACAGGTGAAAATATCATAAAATGTTTCCTCTGCAGGGCTCTGACACACCCTCCAGAAGACATTTACATCCCAGGCTGTCAGGGAACCTGCAAGACACAGAAGAGTATCGCTGTTTTAGTGTTGCCGAAGATGTCCAAAATAATGTTTTGTTATTGTCGAGCCACAGCAAGTATCACTACAAGAAATGTGAACAGTTTTGCAAAGCGGCGTGGACAGCAGAGCAGGCTGGGATTTCAGAACAGTTTATTATTATTATTATTATTATTATTATTATTATTATTATTATTATTATTATTATTATTATTATTATTATTTTAGCCAGTCACGTTTAAGAGATTTTCAGGACATCTACATTACTGAGGGACATAAACATCGGGCTTGTTTCGCAGCAAAAAAAAAAAAAAAAAAAAAAAAAAAAAACAATTTGAGAATGGCCCCACCAAAATTTTTTTCAAAAAGTTGCCAAG